TATTATTCTTTTGTGATATATTTTAAAAGCTTGCCGTTTTGATGTTGGCATTGGCAGATTTCAGTTGATTGTTTGGTCAGCTATTTATTTGCATTTTCAGTTGTATGCGTGAGTCAAATTAAATGTATATTTATATATATATATATACATATATCTGCAAACTTTGAATTGTGGAAATCGTTGTGTAGTCGTTTCTAATAAGCTTTGCTTATGAAAAGTTAAACTATAAGCTGCATAGTTGATCTGTAATGGATTCTCTATCATGATATTAGCTACCTATTATTTTGATGTATCCAGTAAAAATTACTTGATTCTCGATTTGATTTCATTCGATATTTCAAACTGTTTGCCTCAAGCAATACGATTGAAGTGATGCGCATGAAATAATAATATCGTTCCATTCTTGGAATTGTATAAACTATACCTTATTGACGTATACATTAATATGACCTGATCCAACTATAGTTTAGCTCCTAGAACATCCTCAACAGGCATTCAACTACTGGATTCGAATTAATACATATTTTATAAGCTAAACTCTAACTCACCTGTTGGATCTGCTCAACTTATCAGATGTATTTATGGGTTTTATATCGCTGCGCCGGATCTTTGGCATATTTATTTCTAATTTAGTTTTGCAAGCGGGTTTCGTTTAATGTATTTATTTAAGAAAATATATTTCATTTAACTGTTTTTTTTTTTTGCTCTTTATATTTCAATTGATAAGTTCTTTCTCATTAATGTTTTCATTGTATATAGAAGAGATTATACTTTTATTGTATATATTGTATTTAGTTGTAATGCCCGAACATTGTTCACTTTATTTTTACTTTTTATTTACAAGTTTAATTCAATAGTTTTATTCTTTTATAAAAAAATATCAAATTTATTTACCATTTTTTTATTTTGGTTTAATTTAAGTAGTAATTCTGTTGTAGTTGCCTGATCTGATAGGTATACACAACATTTCATGCTTAATGCTGTTTTATTAACTCTGCAAGGCCGACATAATTATGACAAACATTTTAGGCATTTTTATTCTTTTTTTTTTCAAATTAAAAAAAAAAAAAGGAAATTTGGGTTTTTCACTTTTTTTTACATTTTGGTTTAAAAATTGATTTGTTGTATATAAATATGTACAAATATTTGTGTAAAAAAGCATATGCAATATATAAATTTCTTTCTTAGTTTTTTAAATCATTTTCTTAAATGTTATTGGCGCTCATGCAGTTGAAATATCGTTTTACGCTCATTATTTATAGCTTTTAGTTCATGATTTTATTGTTGTATTCAGCTGTTCCATAAAGCTGAGCACATCAGAGGCAACTTTACCATTAAATATAACTCGTAATTGTTTTTGTTTTTTGCTTCTTTGGAGTATAATTAATGCGTTTCTTGTATATATAGTGTTTTTTGTGTGTTGGTGTGGATGTGGGTGTGGGTGTGTGTATTTCGATATTTTGCTGCACAGTTATATAAACTTTTTCTTTTTACTTATATGCTAGTAGTGTATTGTATTTTGTGTATTAGTGTGCTGATGTATGTTTCATATTTATGTTTTTTCTTTTCTCTTTTCTCTTTTGCTTGATAAATGTTATACTTGCATTTAAAAATTAACTAATCACTTTAAACGTTATGCTTAAAATGTTATATTTAGATGTATATATAAGTATATAAGTATAATTATATCTTGTAAACTATATTTTTTCTTTTCTTTATATATCGCGCTCAACGTTCTCTTATCTCACCTTGCTTTTTTTCAGCTGTTGTTATTGAAGGTAAGAAAAATAAGTTACTATCATTCATTTGTTATTATTGGTGTATAAACTTAGCGGTACAAATTTATTTCAGTTTTGCTCGCAATATTACCCAGTTCTATATAACTCAGTATATTATGGGTGATCATAGGTGATGAAGCAGAACATAATGTGTTTATAGTATGTATTTATGTGTGTTTGTTAAACTTGTTCTATTGCATCGATGTGAGACTTGTGGAAGTACTTATGTGCGACGAGGTGCCCAATGTGTTGGCCATATCTCCTTGATAGCTAAACTGTAATTTGAAGGCCAAATGTTATTTTAATGTTTATTTCGTAAGTTAAGCAAAGATAAATTTACCTGCGGGAAAAGCGGCTCTTCGGCTATAGAACCTAGTGGTCCCGTGGGATCCGGCGGCGTTAGCTCAACGCTCTCGCCTGTAAACTCCTCGTCAAAATATCGTGTGTCTGTATCTGATGTAACCTGAGGCTTGAAAGGCGGCGTTATCTATGTAAAATACAATGTTGATTAATTTTGTTTAAGCCTATTACTAATTTGTCATACCTTCTTCTGCACCAGATCTGTCCAATTAATACTCGCAAAGAATGGATGTGCTTGTATCTCCTTAACATCATCCTGTCCTCCGCCCAAACGATTTCTAGGATTCTTAGCCAAAAGACCAGATAATAGACTTTTTGCTTCGTCTGTTATATTCCGCGGAAATTTCACATCTTCTAACAATATCAGCGTGAAAAGCACATCATGATCACGATTGTAGAATGGTAGTCTTCCACAGATCTGCAAATTTAGGAAATATATTTATTTATAGATGTATTTACAAATGTTATGTAGTCGTTTGCTCACCATCTCATACATAACCACACCGGTCCCCCACCAATCCACCGCGCGCCCATAATCATTATCATCTAATACTTCGGGGGCTAAATATTCCGGTGTGCCACAAAACGTCTTCGTTGTACGACCGTAAGTGATGTCCTCCTTGCACAGCCCAAAGTCCGCTACCTTAATGTGGCCATCTTTGTCCAGCAAAAGATTCTCCAGCTTTAAGTCACGATAAATGATGCCCTGCGAATGCAAATATCCCAGCGCCGATATTATTTCGGCGCCATAAAAGCGTGTTCGCTCCTCTGTAAAGATGCGCTCATGACTCAAATGCCAAAACAGCTCGCCACCATTCACATATTGCATGACAAAACAGAGACGATCATTGGTTTGAAATGAATATTTCAGTGACTACAAAACAGAGAACAGAAAAACATTTACATTAGATATATTTATTATTGATTAGGTTAAAACGATCTATACTTAACAAGCAAATACTATATAAATATAGATTGCAGTCGGAAAATACATCTATGCTGGCCATTCGCATATGCTACATTCATTAATTTTTATTGCAGAGAAATAAATTTGCAAACTTAAATATACATACATATATTGATTGCAATCCTACCAGTATGATCGTATCGTAAAGAATGTTCTACCGATATCTATGCATTAAATCTAATTCTGATTTTAATTGAAACTTGTATGTGGAAAACGCTGTATATTGATCTGATATTATTATCCTGATTATACACCTATAATTATAAAAATTAATAGACGTAGTTACGTCATCTTTGCTGATGATCCAATTATATGCTGTAAGCAAGTACATATATGTATATATCCAAATCTGGGCCATCGATTCAGTATATGATAATCTAACAATTATTTTTTGATTTTTACAATATTTCTCGAAGAAATGTTTTATGTATACATCCTATTCAAATCCAAATAATTTCAAGATTCAAATATTGTTACAAACTAATTTTGTCTTTTGCGCCTAACCATTAAATTCAACACTCATATGGCAAGGCAAACAAATCGAAGCGGGGAATCCCCCTGCTTTGACGCTTCACATTTCGTTACTGACAATAATTCGATATGATGAAATAGAATAACACTTACAATCAGGAACGGATGATTTGTTGACTTTAGCACGCGGCTTTCAGTGAGTGTGTGCGCGACCTCATCCTTTTGTATGATCACCTCCTTTTTGAGAATTTTGATTGCATACAATCTGGCAGTAGCCTTCTCGCGGCAGAGAATTACCTTGCCAAAGGTGCCCTTGCCGAGCACCTTAAGGAATTCAAAGTTTTCAAGAGTCTAAATGATATGCGAGTTAATCGATGTTCATATGGATAAATATAGGGGAGTCTGTTTCCCAATACGTACCACTTTTTTAACACCGCTACTGTTGCGTGTAGTGCCTTGCACTGAAAACTGTTCGGACAGCTCCACCTCGGCAATGCCAGCCATATCTACATCGCTCGTATCTGTTTGTGCTAATGGAGACATGGCCGTCTCGCCCATCTCACATAGCCTGCTGGCCACATTACGTATAGCCTCCGTCCAGCCTTGACGTTCCTCTTCCGAACCGACAGCAAAGGTGCGCTCAATTACTGACGTCCACTGCAGACCGCGTATGATGAATGTGAAGGGCTTTGGCCGATCCACGGCCATGATTTGGCAACCGCGCACGGTAAAGTTGTTGAGCACGTGCTCCTGCGATGTATAATCAACCGGCTTGCTGCGATAGCCCTTCAGAGAACCATCGTCGGTCAGGACAAAATAGCGTTGGCGCCAAGTCTTGATATGCTCGCCGCGCTTCGACAGCCATCCCTCTTTCACGATCTGTGGGTTGGGCGAAATGAAGGGCTCAATGGGGCTGGTGGGCGATGAGCCCGTTGCTGTCAAGGACATGATGGCTTCTGTTGCCGTCACTATTGGATACCGGATGGCGCGCACCTCGTTGTTTAGCAGTGCGTCGCTCAGTTCCGACACGTTGCAATCGTTGATGTTGTTGCTATTGCTACCGTTGCTGTTGTTATTGCTGGCGTTGCTGTTGCTTGTGTTATTCCTGTTGAAATTTAAGCCCAAACGACCGCCAGTGATCGCTAAAGTTGTTGGTGTGGGCGTTATTGAGGCAGATCTAGGTGCGGCGCTGGCGACCACAGTCGATCTCCTCTGCAGCGCAAATGGTAAATAATTCGTGTTGAGGCTGTTCCCAGTTCCGGGTGTACCAAGCTAACCAATTCCGCACGCCACAGTCCCAGTTCTACAATGACGGCACTTGTTAAAAAATGCACAGGTCTAAATGGTACAAAGTATTAGTGTTTCTTAGCATTTTCACGAGTGTATAATCCACTTCTTTTATACATAAATACAACTATTTGCACTTTTGAGATGGGCACGTGGTGAAACTCAGAAAGGCCCTGCAAATTTCAACAAAAATACGAATGATTATAAAATTATGTATACTAGATTTTAAGTCAACAAAACATGAAAATGACAACTTTTCTTCCAATTCCAATTTCAAATTATTTTTCGTGTCACGCAAAGTATTCAGCACGCACCCATCTCTAATATGCATATACATACATACGTATATGCATATGCATATTTTGTTATTGTCTTTTGGCGTGTTTATGGCAAATTGCACAGCCCTTTGTTGTTGTCGTTGACGTTGTTATTGTTATT